TCGGCCTCGCAGGCGGCGCACTTGTCAAGCTTGTCGGCATTGCGCGACAGGCAAGTGGTGCAAGCCCAGGTGCCAGTGTTGTCAACCTTGATGGGATTGGCAATAGCTCCGGCCGGAGTCGCGGCAGCCGGGGTGGTGACAACGGAGGCCTTGGCTGCGGCGGCTGGAGTGGGGGTCGCAGTCGTCGAAGCAGCAGCCGGCAGTGTTGCGGAGATGTTTGTGAAGAGGAGAGGCTTGGAGGAGGCGGAGCTCGCGCCGGCGCCCAGGGCGATTGTCGGGAGAGGAAGCTTCCCTGGCGCGGGAACGGGCGCGACGGCGACCGGGGTGGCGGACGGCCCATCATCCTCCGCCAGCGAGTCGGCCGGGGCTGCAAGGAAGGAGACACCCTTGAATTGCAAGGAGTCCATCTTCAGCATCGGAGCGGCCGCAGGAGGGGCCGGCGCCGGGGTGACACCACCAGCGCCCGGCTTCTTAATGCTGGAGGCCAGCGGCTGGAAGACAAACTGATTGGCAGGTTGAGCCGGCCCCGGGGCGCCGGCCGCCGGGGTGTCGGCGGCCGGAGAGCCGGTCGCCTTGGAGCCGGGAGTATTTGTCAGGAAAATGGACGAGCCAGTGGGCTGGCCCGCGACCGGGCCCGGGGTGCTGGCAGCAGTAGCAGCAGCAGCAGCAGCAGCAGCGCCACCCAGGCCCACCGAGGCAAACGGCGAGATGATGGACTTGGAGGAGGGAGCCTGCTCCGGAGCAGGCTCATCCTCCTCATCCTCCGTGCTGTAGTCCTCGTCGTCCTCAGCCTGGCTGTAGTCCTCGTCGTCCTCATCCTGGCTGTAGTCCTCGGCGCTGTCGGCGCTCTCATCAGCGCCATCCTCATCCCCATCATCGCCGTCCTCGTCGGAGTACTCCTCACTGGCGGACCCGGCACTGGAGTGCTCGAGCTCCGGAGACCGGATAGCCCCGGGGAAGACCTTCGCGGCGCTGGCTCCGGCGGACGGGACGACAGCCGTCGCGCCGAAGGGCGAGCTGACCGCACCCGAGCTGACCGCACCCGAGCCGACCGCAGTCGCCGCGGCCGAGGAAAAGGGACTGGCCCCCTTGCTGGCAGAGGCAAAGCCCCCGGCCGAGGCAAAGGGCGACCCGGCCGACGAGAAAGGCGCCACCGGATTGGAGAAAGCGCTCGGCTGGCCGAAGGCCGCCTTCTTGTCATTGGATCCGGTGTCGAAGGGGCCCCGACCGAAGGGGCTGGCCATGGATGAGGCACCCGCGCCGAAGGGCGTCCCACCGAAGGGGCTAGCCCCGGCCCCGGTGTTGTTGCTCAAACCCGAGGAGCTAGTGCCAGGGGCGACGGCATTCGAGCCGAAAGGACTGGGTGCTGTGGCCGGCGTGCTGGTCGAAGAGGCGGCCGGGCCGGGGGCAGCTGGCTTGGCGAAGTGGTTCCCGCCGAAGGGGCTGCCCCCGGAGGCGGCGGCCGAACTGAAAGGACCAGTACCGGGCACGGCAGCGCCGGTCCCGAAGGGGCTTGCCCCCGAGGTGGAAGCCGACCCGAAGGGGCTTGCACCGGCGGCGGAATTCGACCCGAAGGGGCTTGCACCGGCGGCGGAATTCGACCCGAAGGGGCTGGACACCGCGGAGGCAGAGTTCGATGCAAAGGGACTGGCCTTGGCGGCACCGAAGGCACCGGAGCCGAAGGGGCTGGCCGCCGGGGCGCCAGTAGACTTGCTTCCGAAGGGGCTCGGCGCAGCTGCACCAGGGGAGGCCGAACCGGAGGGGCCAGCCGAGCCGACCACCGGCGCCGTCATCTCCGCAGCCGAACTGAAGGGGCTGCTGGTTGAGGCGATCGACTGGCCGGCAGGCTTGGCCGTGGCCGGCGGCTTGGACACCTCGGCGGCCGGCTTCTTCTCGGGGGCAGGCTGCTCGGCGTTCGGGAGGGGCGTGCGCGCCAGCAACTTGGACAGGTGCGTGACAACCTTCCGGGTCGAGCCATCACCCTGGTCGATGACCTCCAGGTCGGCGCTCCCACCAAAATGCTCCTCGGCCAGACGCTCGATGGAGGCCTTCTCGGCGAAGGGGTCCCGGTCGTGGAAGTCGCCGAAGCGGAACCGGTCGGTGGCCTCGCCGACCATTTGCGAGGCCGTCTCCAGGTTGTGGGCCTTCTGCTGGGTGTTTTCCACACGCTCCAGGAAGCTGAGGGCCTTCTCCGCGCGGGCCTGCCGCTCGCGGTCCTCCTCGGTGCCGCGCTCGTGCGTGGCGCCGGAGGTGGGCCGGACGATCTTGATGTCCTCGAAGATCTTGGCCAGCCGAGGGTCCAGATTGTCGTCGGTTTGCGTGGCTACCGGCTCGGCCTGCCCATCGGGGTGCTTCTTGGTGAGGTGCATCTTGAGCAGGGTCTGCGAGCGAAGCTCCTGGCCGCAAAGGTGGCAGGCAACGGAGCCAGACATCTGGCCAGCGGAGGAAGGTGGCGGAGAAAAGGCGCGGAGCAATGGAGCCAGGCCGGGAGGTGAGCGAGGAGGAACGGGAGGGAAGTCGGGAGAGGGAGGGAGGGAGGGAGGGAGGGAGCAAGACGGAGCGCACTGTTTGCCGGGGGGGATCGAGGAAAGGAGGGAAGGAAAGGGGAGGAGACAAAAAGGGGGAGGGGCAGAGCAAAGAAGGAAGGGGGGCGGAGGGGACGGGAGCAGACTAGTTGACGCAAGATGTGTCCCGACGTGCCCAACACGGCCACGCTCCCGAAAAAGGTGCTTGGAACAAGACGCAAGGACGTGGCCAGGGCGTCAGGCGACCGGATCACGCCCACGCTGTCCGTTGGCAATTGGGATACACCTGTGCGAGGGGGCTGGCGGGAGCTTGGTCCATGTGCGCGAGCGGCGAGATGCGGCGGAGATCTCGCACGCGGGACGTAGGGCGCGCGCCCCGGAACCGGTTCCGCCCTTTCGGGCGCCGGGGCGGGCACGCTGGAAGCCAATCCTGCGACCAGCATTCCCTTCCCCCCCCCCCTCCCCCCCCCCCTTGTGCCGTCTCCGGCCCCATCCCGCACGCACACTCCTCTGCCCTCCCCGACTCCCCGTTTCTCTGCCCCTCCCCTTGCTTGTGCCCTCCATTGCATAGACCTCCTTCCCGGCACACATCCACAAAGGCAACCATGCCCCCGAAGCATTATCGCCAGTTCCTGGACTACCACGACAATGAGTACGGCCCCCAGCGGTGGCGCACGCGCCTGCTGCCCGCGCTGAAGCGCACCCCCGAGCATGTGGCCATGGTCAACTGGCATGCGGACCCGGCGGCCGTGTGCGCGGCCCTGCGCCGGTCGCCGGAGTCCTACGCCGACGCCGAGGACCCGGAGAAGCTGCTTTTCGTCCAGTCGCCCTACATTGGCAGTCTCTGTGCCCTGGTGCCGGCATCGGGGAGCGCGCCCGGCGCCGGTGGCGACCCCTTCCCCCCGCCCATGGCCGACCGGGCCGGGCAGGCAACCTACTACATCCTGAATGTGGCGTCGCTACTTTGCATCGATGCTCTGGACATCCGGCCCGGGCAGAAGGTGTTGGACTTGTGCGCCGCGCCGGGTGGCAAGTCGGTGGCCATCGCCCAGCGCCTTTGGCGGTCGCATCATGCCGGGGAGGCCGGGGCCGGGCCCGAGGCCGGGCCCGGGCCCGCTGGGCCTGTGTGCTTCGATCTCGGGGCCGAGGCGCGCGACGCGATCGACGCCGATGCCGATGGGCTGCTAGTGCTGAATGAGCCGGCGGCGCCGCGGCGCGCGCGCCTCGAGCGCACGGTCGAGGCCTTCATGCCGCGGCAGTACCGGGCTTCGGTGCGGGTGCTGTCGCTGAATGCCACCCGGACGGAGTCCCTGCCGCCGGCGCACCATGGCCTGTATGACCGGGTGCTGGTGGATGCCCCCTGCTCGACGGATCGCCATGTGGCTCGGGCCCCGGACACCGCCTCGCCGGCGGTCAGTAACTCGGCCGCCGGGCCCTGGTCCCCCAGTGGCATGGCGCAAACCGCCGGCCGGCAGCTGTCTCTGGTGCTGGCGGCCATCGCCGCGGCCCGGGCCCCGGAGGATGGGCTTCCCGGCGGACGGGTGGTCTACTCCACCTGCGCCCTCAGTGTGCGCGAGAATGACTGGGTTGTGGCACAGGCCCTGCAGCAGAGTCGGTCTCGGCACCCGGTGCGCCCGGTCGACCCGCGGACCTTCGGCTTCCGCATTGGCCGGCCGACGCGCTTTGGCTGGCTCATCCTGCCGGATCAGCCCGCCACCGCCTGGCAGCCGGGCCAGCCGGGCGAGCGCGGTGCCACCGAGGGCCATGTCTCTGGCGATGGCCTGCCTCCCGGCATGGCTCCCAACGCCCCGGGCCACAACCAGGGCCCCATCTTCATTGCAGTGCTCGAGCGAATCCCCTCGCCCGGCGGTGCGGCCTCCTCCAAGCCCTCGGGTCTTGTGGCCGATGAGGGTGACAGTGACAGCGATTGATCGTGCTCGTGCCGGTTCCCTCCTCCCTGCTTCCCTTTGCTCCCTTCCCTTCTTTTTTTTTTTCATTCTCCTTTTTCGCCTCCCTCCGCCCCTTTCCCCTCGGCAGTGTGTCCTTCCGTAATAGAGAGAGGCGTGTCTCGGGTGAAAATACCCCACAGCTGTGTGCTTGACATTCAGTGTCTGAATCTTGCGCTTTAGCACGGATCTTTCGTTGGGACATGTGAGTAAGTGGCTCGGGCAAAGAGTTGGCATTTGGTTTTCCAGAACGACCCGTCCGTCCGTGTGACCCCCCTCCCCCCCCCTGGCGTCGGCGCGAGGCCAGCGAGCAAGGAGGGGACGGGGTGCACCGCGCCGCCTTGCCGGGGGAGGTGTTCCCGGGCCGCCGCGCTGGGCAGGGCACACCAAAGAAGTGCCTCGATGTTGGCCACTCCACGGTGGGTCCCCCGCCTCCCCAAGCGGGGGGGGGGGGGGGCGAGTGCGGCGGCCCGGGCGCGCGCGAGAGCCAAGGGAGACGGTGACGCGCGCGTGGGCGCCCAGGGTTGAGGACCGGGTTTCGGTGTGCTTTCAGTCGGGGCCCTGTGGGCCGCCGGCGGCGGGGCGGCCTCCGGGGGGGGGGGCGAGACTGGAGCCCGTCGGATTTTCCAGTCTCTGGCCTGGCGGGGGTCAAGCGGCATCGGCACCCCCCGCCGCCCCCGACACGTACCTCGCCCGGCTGGTACCCCCCCCGTTCGACACTCGCGTTGCCGTTCCCGGCCGCAGGGAGAGACGGGGCACATGGTTTCTGTGAATTGTCCCAGGGGGCGGGGCAGCCCCGCGCTGTACGGGCCTGTCCATCACCGGTCAAAAGGGGGTGTGTCCGCAGCCCCCCCCCCCCCCTCAGCTCCGACTGCCAGCCCCGGTGAGTGCCCGGTGTGTTGTCGAGCCGCGCAACGAGGCGGCCCTGTCTCCCCGGGCCAGGTAAACAATCCTGGTGAAACTCACACAGGCGTGCGACGGGGGCGGGGGAGCCGATGCAGAGCGTGTCTTTGGAACAGGTGTCTCTTGATTAGAGGGCTACGGCAAGAGGGTGTAGCGCGGCAGGGGCGCACTCGCGGACTCGGCGGCCGGCGTCCTGTCCCCCCCCCCCCTGGCCAAATACACGCGTGTGCGTGTGGGGCTGAACCAGCGGGCCCCTGAGGCTGGGAGAAACGGGGACGAGCACGGCCCCGAGGCCATACCGACGTAATTACCTGAATATATTACCGCCAATATATGGCGGCCATGCATGGGTGCCTTCCGCCCGCCACGGAGCGGGGCATCCTGCGGCTCTCTTCTGAGCGCCTGCCCTGCTGCAACTTGGCCAGGGGGCGGGGGGCCGCGGGCGAAGCGCTCGCGCACAAGCCGCGCCCTCGAGACCCCTCGCCCCTGGGGGTCAAGTCGGCGCCCGGTGTTTCACTGGGCCGAGTGGGGCAGGGCCGGGGAGACCTAGCTGGGGGGGGGGGGGGGCACCTGCACCTGTCCGGCCCGGGCCCCGGCTCCGGCCCCGACTCCAGCCCCCGCCCCCGGCCCGTCCCCCTTTGCTCCGTTGTCGGTCCCTCCCCTTGGAAGCGGTCTCGCGCGTGGCCCCACTGCCGGGCGAGGCCGATCGCGGTCGCCGATCCGGGCGAGGCGTCGCCGGAGCGCGCGCGGGGAAGGCTTTGTTCTCTCACGCTCACACGCGGGCCGAACCCCGGGTGGCCGGGCGTCCGTGTCGCTTGGCCGGCCCGAGAGCACGCCCGACCAGGGGGTGCTGGTCGCGGTGCCAGGCGCCCAGCTCACCGGCTCCCTTGGCCACTGCAATATTGTAAATGACCTCCCTCCGGGGCCCTTCGGGGCCAGAGTGAGAAAGGGGGGGAACCGGGGCCGTACGGGATCAGCAGCTGTCTGCTGCCATTGTTCTTCGGCCCTTGGGGGATGTCTCTCTCTCTCTCTCTCTCTCTCTCTCTCTCTCTCTCTCTCTGTCACACACATGCAGAGAGTCACCTTCGGGGCCACATTAGACTGTACAGGGGTCTTCCCCCCTGCCTCACGGCCCCCCTCTTCCCCCTGGTCCTGGGTCCGATCCGCGACACCCGACCAAGCCCCGGGTCCCCGGGCCACAGAGAGTCCCCGAGGACACGGCTCCTCAAGCGATGAGAAAGTGGCGTAGGGCTTGTGCCACTGTGGCTGCGGGGCAAGGGCGAGGGCTGGGTCTCTGGGCCGTTCGTGCGCGCGCGCGCGCGCGCCCCTGGCGGGGCCCCTCGCACACGGGGGCCGTGTTGGCTCCCCCGGGCCGGAGAGGCGGTCCCCGCGCCCCCCCGCCCCCTTACCCCCAGACCGACTCTGGGTAGCCAGGTAGACCCTGGTGATATGGCGGTGATCTCGCCCTCCTGATGGGACCCTCCCCCCCCCAGCCGTTGGCGCCTGCCCTCTCGGTCGTGCATGTGCTTTGAGGTGGTGCCCGAGATGTTCGCGACCACCGGGCTGTGTCGACAACCCGCATCTCCCCTCCTGCCCCTGCCGCCTTCCCGCCACCCTTTCTGCCCCTCCTCCGGGTTGGCCTTTTCGCATCCTCCCTCGCTTGCGTTCCCCGCACCTCACCACTCGGGCGTGTACACGCAGCCACAGGCCCGCCCGTCTCCGCCACCGCCGCTACCGCCGTCGGCTGCCGCGCGGTCGTCTGTGTGCGCACGTGCGTGTGCGTGCGTGTGTGCGTGTGTACGCGCGCGCGCGTGTGTGTGTGTGTGTGTGTCTGTGTCTGTGTGTGAGCGAGAGAGGCTATCCCACTCCTTCTGCCCCTCCCTCCCCCCCCCCCTTCCCCACCTCTCATCACCCCCTTCCTGCCTCCTCCTTGTCTTTCGAAGCCTAGAGCGTCATGCTCCGCCGGACGAAGAGCATTGTCGGCGCACGAGTCCGCTCGAAGCAGCAGCAAGCCGTCTTCCCGAATGCCGACGGCACTGACGCCGCTCCCGGGTCGGTCCCGCCCTCCGGGCGCCCGCTCGGCCCCGGACCCGATGGCGGAGACCTCCTCGCCGTGGTGGCGGCCCACTCCTCTGGGGCCAGTGTGTCCGGCGTTGGCAGCGAGCATGGCACCTTTCGGCCTGAGGGCGCCCCGGTGCGCCAGCGCAAGCTGACCATGTCCCGCAAGTCTGCCCGCTATGACGAGTACATGTACTTCTCCCAGGTTCGTCCGCGTCACTCGACTTCGTCATGGCATCCTGTGGCCCTTTTCCACGGCATCCCCCCCCCTCTCTCCCCTGACACACGCGTCCCATCCTGATATCCCCCCCCCCCCCCGCCTCATATCCAGTGCATCCGTCCCTGGATTGAGCGTCGCATTGGCCGGGCCTTGGACGAGGATGCCGACCTGATCTCGGCCCTGCAGCGGGGCCCGGCCTTCCACGAGCTGGCCTTCAGCTTGTTGCCCGGTACGCAGGCGCCCTCCTCCCCCGGTCCCTGACATCCTTCATGGAGTCTCCTCCGGGCTCCTTCCCTCGGTCCCCTCTCTGACTCTGTCTTTCCTCCCATCGGGGCAGATGTCGTCGGTCGCGGTCCCGAGGATCGCGCATATCGAGACATGTCGGAGCCCTTCCTCCGGAGTGTGGCCATCAACTCGGCCAGCATCTTTGTCGATGCCGTGGCTCGACACACGGGGACAGATCCATCGGACATCTTTTCGCCGATCGAGTTCCAGTCAATCCCGCGGCTGACCACCTCGGAGACGGCCGACTCTGACTCCCGGGGTGACAACATCGCCATGATCCAGCGCCTGAAGGTTGTCCAGGCCCTGGAAGCGGTGGCCATCAACCTGGTGCGCCCTCCTCCCCCGCTCTTCCCCGCTCTCTCGCTTTACCTGTGCCAGTGTGTGTCCCTGGTCTTCCGCCTTGTCTTCTGACTGTGGCCTTTGTTCCTGGTGGGCTTCGGTTCTGGTTCCCGCCCGCCCTACCTGACGCCGGTATCGTCGGCTCCCTCGCCATGCACAGGACAACTTCAATCCCGACGACTTTGTCTCCCAGCCTGATGAGGATGGGCATCTGAGCGGTGGCGAGGCATCCTCCTCGGAGCCCGGATCCTCCTCTGTCGTTGAGCCTGAGCCCGTCATCAAGGCGCTGCTCCCGGTTGAAAAGGAGCCTCTCCTTGAGCCTACGGATCAGTCGATTGTTGCGGTTACCGATGGACCTGAGTTCACGACCACGGCCGACACTGATGCCGGGTCCGTGCCTGCCTCTGGTTCCGAGTCGGTTGTCGGGTCGACTGCTGGGCCCGTTGTTGAGTCCGTTGTTGAGACAATTATTGAGCACGCTCTTGAGCCAACCATCGAGCCAGTCGTCGAGCCGGCCGTCGAGCCGGCCGTCGAGCCTGCCGTCGAGCCTGCCGTCGAGCCTGCCGTCGAGCCGGCCGTCGAGCCTGCCGTCGAGTTGGTCGAGGAATCGATTGTCCAGCCAGCCGTCGAGCCCATCATCACATCCTCACTTACCACGGGGCTTGTGCTTGCGCCTGACACCGATGCCGCGCTTGCCAATGTGTCCGAACCCATCGGCGAGCCGGCCTCTCCGTCCTCCCCCGATACCGATCACATTCACATGCCGGAGCTCCAGCCTGTTCTGGAGGATGACTCCCCCTCGGCTAGCGGCGACGAGTCGGATGCCTCTTCGGCGTCGGAGATTTCGCTCCCCCCTTTGGAGGCGGTCGCCGCGGCGGCGGCCCGGCCGTTGACCCCCCGAACCCCGGGCGGCGGCCTGGCCCTGGCGGCCAGCAGCGTGCCCGGCGTCGGGGCCGGTGGTGGCGATGACGACGACGAGGACGAGGGCGAAGAGGCGTTCTTCTGTCTGAACCCGATGGCCGTGGCCAAATATGCCCGGAGCAATGAGGTGCTGAATCTTCTGCAGCAGAGCCCCGCCTTCAATCGGACTTTCTCCTTCACCTCCACCTCGGAGTCCGTTTCCGATCCGCTGATCAGCACATCGGTCAGCGAGATCCTCGAGCGTTCGGCGGATTCCCTTCGATGGTCGCTCCCGAGCCCGGTGGCCGGCGAGCCGGGGTCCCCCTCGCGTGCGGGGCCTGACGGGGCCTGGGGCCCGGCTCGAGGCCGGCCACCGGCGCCCTCTCGGCCCCCGCAATATGGGTCCAGTCCGCTGTCACGGTCACTGTCCAGTGTCAGCTCGCGGCCTGTGTCCATGCATGTGGGCGGCACATGGGGGGACTTCTCCATCGACACGCCACTCCCTCTGGATCCGGAGGCCCGGCGCCGGCTCTGCTCCACCACCCTGCCCATGAAGCTGTCTCCGAAGGCCGAGGAGGCCGCCGGGGTTGCCGCGTCTGCGGCCCCTCCAACGGGGCGGCCGCCAGTTCGCCCGGCCAGCGCCGGTGCCGGCACCAGCAGCTCCACCACCGGCGCCAGCTGCCCGGACGGCACCGGCATCGATCCCAGTCAGCTGGACCCCCTGGTAATGGAGGACTTGGAGCTGTTGCTCCAGTGCCCGAACAACCTGCGCGCCGCTCATCGCGCCTGCATGGAGCGCGGCGCCGACAAGACGGCCTTCCTGCTGGAGCATTTGACCGAAATGACCAATGACAATCGGAGGTGCGCCCGACATTCCGAGTCTCCTTTTCCCCCTTGCCCGCCCCCGTTGTGCCCCTGCGCTGGACTCTCGGTGCTCCCCATCTCGCGTCTTTGCCTGCCATTCACAGTCCAAAATGTCCGTGCGCCGCCCAGTCCCATGGACATCGCATCCATCCACATGACCCTGCAGTCTTTGTCGCAGAGGGATGAGGACTCACTTTCGCGGCAGGTTCGGCCTCGGGTCCCCTCGGCCGTGGTCATTCGACGGAATCGCGTGCCCAAGATCACTTCCCCGGTGCCAGCTGCCTCGCTGGTCCCGTCCCCTGGTGCGTGTTCACGTTTGTTGCCTTTCCCTCCACCCGCCCTCTTCGCCACCGCGTCTCATCAGCTGACTTTGCGCGCTTGTGTGCACTCCGCTTGTGTTCATTTGTTTGTCCATCCCGTCCCCCGGCCCCCTTTCCTTGATGCATCGCCACAGAGCCTGCTCCGGCCATGATGGCCAGCCTTTCGCAGCCGCCCGTCAGCGGCCAGGAGCCCATCAGCATGCAGGAGCAGACCAATGTCCCGGAGCACACAAGCACCCCGGAGCCGGTCAGCAACCGGCGTAGCCTCTTCGGCAAGCTGGATCGTTTTCTGAATCGCTCATCAGACTCGACGCCCCCGAGCGGGGCCTCCTCTTCATCCGGCCCGGTGAGCCCATCCCCCGGTGCTTTGAAGCGCCACTCGAGCATCCTCCGGGTGTCATCATCCAACCCACCTGCCTTTACTGTACGCACTCATTTCCCTCTTTCCGCCCTCTCCCCCTTTCCCCCCTTCTCTCCCTCTCCCTGTCTCTTTGGCTTAGGGGCCCATCGACTCGGCTCATATTGACATGCATTTCGCACAGCTGATCCCCGATCCCACCCCGGAGATGGTCCCGTCTCCGACTCCGGCTCCGGCTCCCCTTCCAGCCGCGGCTCCGGCCTCGACGCCGGCAGCCGATCGTCGTCCTGATTTGACGATCGACATCCCGGGTGGATCATCGGCCACCCCACCCGTCCGGCCTCTGTCAAAGCACCCGCAGCCTTCGCAGTCGTCTGCACACCTCCCGGCACGGAATCTTGCGGGGCCAATTCCCGCCCATGAGCCCGAGCACACATTGGCGCATGGCTGCCTGCCAGGGCCGCCGCTTCCGGGGACTTCCATTCCGACGGATCTGTCGCTGGAATATGCCTTGACGATGGCCGGGTCCGGGTGTGCTTTCGACCCGAATTCCCACTTTTGGTACAGTTGCGGATTGAGCAGTCTGGATCCGCCGGGCCTCGGGCGTCAGGCCACCGCGGCATTATTGACCCTGCCGCCGGGGGTTGGGCCGGCTGCCCCGGCCGGCCCGCACTCCCTGGCTCCGTGCAACATCTGTCTTTCGTGCGATGAGCGCTGGTCCCGGATCCTGGAGTCGGTCTCCCTGCCCGACAGCTGGACCAAGCTGGTCGGGTCGGAGCGCGTGGCTGAGTTGGGGCTGCCGATGACCGAGCACAAGCGCCAGGAGGCCATCTATGAGCTGCTCTTCACGGAGTTGCTCTTCACCGGCGACATGTCGCTCATGCGGAATGTGGCCCGCATGGCGGTGGGCGGCTGCCCGGGAGCTCACTCGGAGGTGCTGGCCCCGCATTTCTACCAGCCCCTGGTGACCTCCTCGCTGTTGAAGATCACCCCCCGGACGCGGCGGTTGTCGTTGACCCTGTCGGCGTCGGCCGCGGCGGCCGGGCACTCGCCCCTCCCCCCGGCCTCCCCGACATCCAAGCGTGCCTCCATCCATGTGTCCGGCTCGACGGACTCCCTTCTGGCAAGCCCCGGGGCTGGGTCCGGCAATTATCTCTCCTCGCTAGAGCAGCAGAGTCAGCAGGCAGCTTCGTCACCATCGGCCGGCTTCTCCGGCCTTCGGTCCCCGTCGGCCACCGAAACCGAGCTGATGGCCGGCCAGCCGTGCTCCTGTCCATTGCCGCATCTGCCCCGGGTGGATGGGGCCTTCCAATTCGGTCGCCGAGCCGAGGAGATGGTCGCCTCGCCGGCTGCCACAAGCGCCGCCCATGCTTCCGGGGATTCTCCCGGCCCGGCGCGTGGGCTCCCCACCACGGCCTATCAGCCGGGCCTGCTGACGCAGCAGGAGGCCGCCTCGCTGTTCGGCACTTCGGCCGCTCTGCTGGACCTCTCTCGGCGGGTGTCAATGGCTCTGCTGAGCAGTGGGCTCGGTCATCCGACCGCGCCGGTCCAGAGCATCGGCCCGGTGCTGGCCTCGCTGGTGCGTGCATTATTGGGACACCGGCGCCTGCACTTGCCGCCCTTCTCCATGTCTCCCCTCCTCCTCTTCTCTCTCTCTCTCTCTCGGGCCCTGGTTGCCTGCTGTCATGGCGGACTCACCATCTTCCTCTATCCCCCTCCCCCCTCCTGTTCCTTCCGCATCACGCAGGTCCCCCATCTTCGGACGTTTGCCAATTACTGCCGGAATCACCCGATCGCCCTGGAGAAGTTCAATCACCTTCAGTCCTCGAAGCGTCTGTACCGGCGCTTCTTTGAAAGCCTGGCCACTGTCACCCCCGAGGCACCCGGGGCCGAAGTGGCCCGGCGAAGCTTTGTCGCCGGGTCGGCCCAATCGAGTCCGCGCACGCCGGCCGACGGATCCCAGGACTTCGACCCGTTTGGCAGCACCCCCGGAGACCGGACGCCGCGGGCGCGCTCGACCTCCGCCCCGCTTGCCGGGCTCCGGAAGAAGCCCCTTGACATCCCGACCCTGCTGATCAAGCCGGTCCAGCGCATCTGCCGGTATCCGCTGCTTCTCAAGGTGCGTGAAGTCCCCTTCCTCTGGCTCCCCATCTGTGCATGGGGGTTCCGACTCGTTGACGCGCCCGGGCTGACCCTTCTCTGGATGGCGGTTTTTCCCTTGTACAGGAGATTATCAAGAACACGCCGGAGGGCCATCCGGACCATGCCTCCCTGTCTGCCACCCTGGCATCGGTGGAGGAAATCGTGGCCGAGATCAACATGAATGCCACGGCCCCCATGGGAGCCGGCGGTGCGTCTTCCTCCGGCACCGGGCATCGGGCCAGTGCTTCGCTGGTGGGATCTCCCACGCGTGCGCCATCCCGGCCATGCCGGGTCCTTGTTTGTGAGGGCCTGATTGGGGCCGATGCCGATCCCAGTGCCCAGCTTCGCTTCCTGGAGGTATGTCCCCGGCTTCGGCCGGCCCTCCCTGTTGTCGGTCCATTTTGCCTGCTTGAGCTGCTTCCTGACGGGTTTCCCGGTGTGCCACTCTTCGCCAGCGCACGGGCTTGCAAACCGGCTCGCGGCGCTTCATCCGCGGGGATACGGTTCTCATGCTGACGCCGGCCGCCGATGCCCCGGCCGCTGGGGCGGCCGGCTTCCTGGCCGGGGATCTGGAGGACTCATCTCGCTGGCGTGTCAAGGCCTTCCACATGCTGATGCTCGGAGAACTTGTGATCCTGGCCTCGCGCGAGAAGAATGCCTGGGAAAGTAACCGGGCCGCATCTGCCGGAATTGGGTCGTCCTCGTCGCTGACCGGTGGCAGCGGTCCTGCTGGTGGCAATGGCGCCGGCTCGGCCGGGAGCATGTCGAGCACAGGGTCCGGCGCCTCGGCCGCCTTGCTTGGGAGCAAGGACCTGCGCCTGTCGCACATGTACTACAGCTGGTCGACGGCGGTGGCGGAATTCGCCCCGCCCGGGTGGCTGCTCGGCAGCGACCTGGTGACCGAAGATCTGGCATCTGGCATTGTGCCCGGCTTGCATGGGCTCCTGCTGGCCGACCTGCAGCAGGGGTCCATTCACCGGTTGGTCTTTTGCTCGGTGCTCGGGGCCGGTACCGGCCCCGGGAGCCCGTCCATGCTGGGAACCTCGCCCGGATCGATGGGAGGCATGGCCGGTGCCTTTGGCGCTGGCGCTCCGGTGCGCAACTACGCCGAGAATGCCAGCCTCTCGGGGATGGCCTCCGTGCAGGCGTGGCTGAAGCACCTCCGCAAGTCGGCACCCGGTGGGACGAACGTCAGTGGCACCGGGTCCGGGGCCGGGAGCCGGCCCCTGGCCGTCCCTCTGGTGGACCTGCCCGGGGGCCAGCGCGCATCGCTGGTCAGCAGCTCCCGGCAGGAGACCCTGGTGACACAGGTGGCCACTCCGGCGGTTGGGTTCATCGCCGAGAAGGCGGCCTCGGCCGTGGCGTCCGGTGACTGGCCCGCCGGCCAGTCGCCCACCAGCACCCAGCGTGCCCTTTCTCATATGCTCGGCTTCCCGGCCTTCTTTGCGGTGGTCCAGCCGCGGGCTCCGGCCTCCGAGGCTGTCTCGCCGCAAATGGTCCCGGCGGTGCTCTTCCCGCCGAATGGCGTGGGCGCCGGCTCGCCCACCTCCTCCTTCTCCAACCTGTATTTGGCCGGCGGAGCCGCCGGGGCCACCCCCACCGGCAGTGCCCTCTCCAACTCCAACTCCTCGCTGGTGGGCTCGCCGAACTACGGGGCTGGCGCCGGTGGCAGTGGGTCTTCCTCGTCGCTGCTGGCATCACCGGTCGCCGGGGCCGGGATGGTCCCATCTCCCAGCCCGGCAGCCCGGCGGACCTCCTCCGACTCGTCGCAGGGGCTGGCGGCCTCCTTGTCGGACTTGGCGATGAGTGGCGACTCGGATGCGTCCGGTGATCTGGCTCCGGCCAGCAGCGCACTGGATCTGGTTCGAGCCCTGTCCCGGCGTGGGGCCAATCGCCTGCGGTCGGCGAGCTTCTCGCGCCGGTACTCCCCGGTCCCGGGGACCATTGCCACCACCGGCGGGGCCGCTGCCGGCGGCGAGTTGGGCAGCCCTGGGCGACCGCCCGCGGCCAGCACCCCGGCCTCGCCGCTGGCCACGGCCCCGCCGGTGGTCCTGCTGGATCCGGTTGAGGACACCCTGCTGGCGTATGAGGCCCTGTCTTTGCCGCCGCCGCCTTCCTCGGCGCCGAGCCATGTGACTGGCGCCCCTCCCGCCGGCGGGCGTTCTGCCGTGGCCGAGGTCGAGCCGGCATCGCACTTGCCGCCACTCTCGCGCCCGGGCTCCGTGGTCGGGAGTGCTGCCTCCCTTCACCCGCGGCCGGCGGATCCCATGATCGACTTGCCGGACGAATCGGAACTCATCGGCACCACGATCACAACCCCGCCTCTGACACCGACCAGCTTGGCGGCGGTCGTCGAGTCGCTGGCCGCGGCGCAGGCCGCCACACAGGCCGCCGCCGCGGCCGTTGCTGCGGCGGCCATTGCCACAGCCGCCCCCGGTTCCGAGATCCCAGACTCGCAGGAGCCGGAGCCGGGCCCCGGGCGGCCGGGGCCCTTGACCGCCATCACCCCCCCTCCTGGGGCCGGTAAGCCTCCCTCCGGCACTGGCACCGTGGGGGGATCTCCTCTCGATGACGAGACCAAGCTCCCAGTGACCAGCCTGACTGTGCTGGCGTCGGATTCCGACTACGATCTCACATCGACCTTCAGTGATGACGACTCGGACACCCTCTCCACCGACTGCAGCTCCGACCTCTCGGACTCCCTCTCCCTCTCGGACTCGGATTCCGACAGCAGCACTGACCTCTAGAGGTGTCCACCTTCCCCTGTCCTTGATTGCACACATGGCCAGCCCGGCTGCCTCGTCACTTTCCCCTCCTTCTCCTGGCGTTCCGCCCCCGCTCTTCCCTCTGTGGTGGTGCCGTCATCGCAGAAGGGGACCTGGGCGTCGGCCAGGCGCGCGTGTTTTTTGGTCCTTGATGTTGTGTGTGTGTGTGTGTGTGTATGTATGTGCACGGCGCGCCCTGCG